ATGAAGAATGAAAAGGCCATGTCCGAAGACAGCTGAGATAGCAGATATCTCCTCGGCTCTCAGCTCAAGTTGCTTAGAATTTGTAGGAACTTACAAACGACCATTGGAGGAGATCTAGGAAGGCCGTGGCAGGAAGAAGAGGACATGTGGGGCCGCCCACCGTCGCTTCCAAACAATGCTATGAGCTTTGAGAAGACCCGCAGACGCGTAACAGCGGCTCATCCACCCTCTGACAATGCGAAGCACCATACCGGCGACAAATGGTATAGAATATTCCCTCTTGTAAGGAAGTGACCCATTTGAGTAGACTAGGAATTATCCCAGTCGACTGCCCCAAGACGCCTTGGAAAGCTGACCAACTGAGCCGGATAGACAGCACAAGTCAAAGCAAAATTTCAACATGCGGGCTGCTGCAGAGATGGCGGAATGGCTGGAAAAGATGGTGTCAACGTTAAAGCCATGAGAGGCCGCCGCTCTTAAAACCGCTTCTGAAAAAGAATTATTTCGATCTCATGTAGAAGTCGTTTATTTCCCTAAAGGAGATAATGTCGAATTGACTGACTCTTTAAACCTTCCGGAGGACTGTAAAAAGGCATAAAGATTGAAGCAAATTACTCCATCAAGAGGATAGAAGAAATACAACTATTCTAACCCTGGCAGCGGACTGAATCTTCGGCATAGTTTTAAGAAGGCAATGCAGAAGAGAACTGATCTGCATTTATTTCGACAGCCAGGCCTCAATAAAGGCCCTAGGATGACAAACGATAACATCTAGGCTTGTGATGTAGAGCCTTCAAACATTGCATGAGCTAGGTAAGCACAGTTACGAGTACCTAATATGGATGCTTGCCAATTACGATTTTGAAGACAACAAAAGGACTGACTGTCTAGCTTACTGAGCGCCCCAAGGAACCAATGCAGGTGTTGAAATTTCTGTGGCGTATCAAGAAGTCATTTTAATAAACTGGTATTGCAATCACCACAGAAAAAAATTGGGTTGCCATTGCAAGCAATGTGCAGGACAAAGGCAAGCAAAAACATTAATAAAATGTTCGGGCATAGCACATAAATTACTGGAAGAATCATGCAGATTCTACCAAGGATCAATTGAGGCGTATCTTCACATTCTACCTGAATGTGAGGCCGTCTGCAGAATCAGACACCAAGTGTTTGCGAGCAATTTATAACGCTGGACACGGCATGGTGCTCCAAATAAAAGAAAGTGTTGGGGTTTGAAAGAATACTAAAGCTGGTGAACTTTTACATCACAGTACGAATCAATAACAACAATAATGCTCAACTACCAACGCTCATTTAGCCCTTGGAAGTATTGAAGGTCATGCCAAAATTCATAGTTACGTTCCGCTTTACTTAAAAATTCGACTGCATTGCAAAAAAAGAAAAATTTAGAAAGAAACAGCTTCAAGTTATAATAAAAAGCACATTTTATTAATAATTTTGACGAGTATGGTATTCTTCGAAAGAGGTGGGTAAATACAGTGGTACTTTGCGTTGTTGCACTGCCAGGTGGTCTCCTTTCTAATTTGCTTTTTAAAACAAACACGGCATTTCTTTTGAGGGTGTTCCTTGCATTTGGTTGGTGGAATATATTCAGGGAAGTGTGCTCAATTTTTTGCATGTAAACGAAGCGGTGTATCGCCAGTTGCAGGACCTCCACAGGTTTTATAATTTGGTAATATGATATTTTCCACTATTGCTTTAGCAATATTTAAACGAAAGGAAACAAAGCCTGTTTTGGAAGTGCTAGTAATTTTAGAATGCAAAACATATGCATTGTAAAAGACCATATCTAGTAGATAGAAGAATACTTTCTTATATCCCTTTACACATTTCTTCATTATGGGGAAGAACGCTATTTGTTGATCATGCTTATCAACCCCTTCCATACCTTTATTTTATTTAATAACGTATGATGGCTTTATAATATTCCTGACATCACCATCTTCTGTTTTTTACCTTTTCCCAGTGTCTACTAAATTAGCATTTGAATGTTTCGTGCCAAGTATATACACATCTTTTGTATCGCTCCATTTTGATTCCACCACAGGATAAAGTTTTGGCTTCTCCTTTTTCAACTTGAGTACAGCAAGCTCTTTCGGCATGTCCTTCCTATGTTTCCTAACAGTTCCAACGGCATTCGTACCATATTTCAGCAACTTTAGGAATAATTGAGGCAATGAATACGAATTATTCATGAACAGCGTGTAGCCTTTATATAAAATGTCATTTTCAACGCCGTATCGGACGTCATGTCCGATTTTGGCAAAATTAATGCATGACGTTCTGATACGTCGAATGCGGTCAAAGGGTTAAAAATATCACACGTTCCGCTTGACTGCATTAAATTTTTGAGCAAATAAAAGAGCAGATAGGTGTATTCGATATGTATTTCAAACCAAAAATATTACTACTATTTGTTCTTACAGTGTAATTCCGTAAGGGGCTTATATTGTTTTTCTTTCTCGACTTGTTCGTTAATTTCATTTCCTTGTCAGTGAACTTGTTTTTGATACGGCAACTTGTCACACAACACGTGAAGTTGTTATTAAATAAATAAAACATTGCTGTAACTTAGTTTTTTTATGTTATTTTGTCTTGGTTCATCTTAACACAACATCCCAAAACAAATATATATATATATATATATTATTTTGTACACAATAATGTCTTTCTTAGAAACGAACAACTTAACCCAACGAAGCCGTAAGTATACTTGGATTTATGAAAATTTACCAAATAATATAGCTTTTGTGTAAATTCTAGAGGAGAATTCATCAGATAAAAGCCAAGTTTCAGGATGGGCGGATTCCATTGCAAAAGTTTTAAATACTACTAAACCAAAAAGTAGAAACGATTTGGTTCTTTCTCGAGCCAAGAAAAATAAATCTCAGGAAAACGATGACAAGTCCAAAAACTATGGGTTTGAAGTAGTTGGAGAGATCGAAGAACAAAAACCCGCGGAGGAAGATTGGAATGGAAAATTGGCAAAAGAACATAAGGGCGGAAAAGCACAACTGCGTGTTAAGCCTTGTTGGAATGACATGGAAAGAGAAAGAGCTCTACGTAAGGTAGCCACTAAGGGAGTGGTGCAGCTTTTCAATGCTGTTCGCAAACATCAGAAGGATTTACAGCATCAACTAGACGCCGCGGGGCCACTAGACATTCGCAAAGAAGCTGTTTTGAATAAAATAAACAAACGCAAATTTTTAGATATTTTGATGGGAGGACGGCGAGGCAAATCAGAGGTTGTGGATAATCCGATAAAACGCGAAATAAAAAAATCAGAGGAAGAAAGCTCTGATAGTGGAGACGATATTAATAATAAGAAAAAGAAAAAAGAATGGAATGTTTTACGTGATGATTTTATGACGAACAAGAAAATTAAGCATTGGGATGAAAATAGTGATAGCAATAATCAAACACAAAGTGATGATTCGGAGGATGGTGTTGATTGATAGTATAAATAAAAATACTTGTATTCTTCGAAAACTTAGCGCTGACTTCTTGGGGTTTTTAAAATTTCCATATTTAATAAACGTGCTAAGCCCACCAAAACTGCACCTGTTTACCAATTTGAAAAACGAATCCATGTTTACTAATGTTAAAACTACATGATCAGAAGTAACTTACCAGCAGATATAATTTTGATTGTATATCTGTCGAAACGTTTGCGTTGCAAAGATTGATAATAAAGGTATAAACCAACACCTATCGATCCAATACCACTAATTAAACGGCATTCCAAGCAATCTATTGGCTTTTTTGGAGAACGTTCACTCATATTTTATTGTAATAAATTAAAAGATTCTGGTTTACATTAAAATTTAACAAAATTCTTGCGGGCAACTAAGACTAAATTTGTTCAAGGAATTGTTCTTCTTTCTATGTCAATCATTCTGTTTTGATATCTTCTTCTTCTTTAAATGGGCAAAATGTAAACTGACATCAGTGAGAAAACAAAACGATTTTTCTTTTCTTACATATTAAAACATTCCCGCATTGGCCTTCCACAAATTGTATACTCAGTGAAGAAAAAAGATTTAGTTGAGGGCTTTCCCAAAGTCAAGAGAAATGACATTCATAAAAAAAAAAAATAAAACGCAAAACCTTAAAAAAACAACACCTACATATAACCACACACAAATTGAAAGACTTCAATAACATACCCACAGACTTTTAAACCCCCCGAAGCTTCACGGCCTCCAGCAAATCTTACACGAATTTGTTTTTTCAAATATTTGGATAAGTCCAGAATAGATTCTTTCCGGCGCTTCTCTTCATCGCTCTTTCACCTAATACAATGAGATTCGCAGAAGACCTGTACAATATATTTATGACCAGCAAAAGGAAGACCGGCAAAATATATGAACAGCAAGATGATGACCTGTAAAATATATGATCAGCAAGAGCAAGACAGCTAAAATATATTTACTTGATCATAAAGTAGAGCGAAGCTCCATTCACTTGATATATTCTCCAAATTTTTTTTAATAGTAATATTTTCTTTTTGATTTTTTAACTTAGATATATATGCATAAATCTATAATTTTCACAAATATCAATAATGAGATATAAAGACCAAAAAAAACTTTAACTGAAATTTGTTATATAGCGCGAGAGTTCTGGTATAAGTATAGATGTATCCTGCAACGAGAGGAAAAGTGTAAGAGTTATTAACCTAATATTTAGAAGAAATACCTCCAAATCATCTTCGAGACTACTATCATCAGTACTATCTAAACCATTAGTCTCAATACTATTTTCCCAATCAGATAATTCTCCTCTTCATCTGCCTCAAAATCGTCCAAGTCATCGGTTACGGCCGCAGATTTTTGTTCAAATTCATATAAAATAATTTCATGTTCCTGAAACGAAGGACTTCTAAATGAACGTTCTCCTTCAATGGTCAGAGCAAAATGTACCCTTAATTGTCCTCTTGCTGCTGCTAGTTCACAGAAAGGATTTCCACATAAATTTAGCATACGAATAAATTTCATACTCTGAAGTTTTTGAAATTTGCTCAATGCGATTATCATTTAAGAAGACATATTGCAATTTACTTATTTTCATTTACATACGGCATTCATCATTTCGCTTCTGCAACAATCAATTTGGATGAACTTTTTCTTGGTTCAACAAGATAAAGAAAAACATAAAATTTACTTCTTTTCAAATGTGTTTTTCAAATTGCGACAATTTTTGAAGGAAGCACTCTAAAGTATTATTACACTATATTGTTAATTTATTTTTTGCAATGAATTGCCTAACTTTTTTTATAAAAGCCACCTAAGGAGAATAGTATAATCAAATTATTATTCCTTTTCTAACACTCACACAGAACAGAGCATCAGATATCCCTTAAAGCAAGTGTAGTTTTGAATCGATTTAGTTATATCCGTTCAAGATTAAAATGCGGTACTCTATCATCTCGGTGCAGCCTAAAAGGCTTTATTTTGGCGGGTAAAATTCCAAAATCTCTCTGAATTTTTCCACATTTTCATCTAAGATTTGGAACAAACATCTGTCAGAGATGCATAATTGATAAAATATAACTCATTTTAAATAATAATTCGAGGTGATGACTATCCATGGTTCGTGAAGTTTCTTTACTTTCTTCTATTATGCTTGGTTTGTTGTCTAAAGTAGAATCACTAATTTGTATAAAAATACCTTCGAATTAGGGCGCAAATATAGTGAATACAAAAATATATTTTTTTATTAAAAAAATTTCTAGGCTTATTCGAATTGGAAGCTTTTTAAGAAAAGGCTTAAAATGGTAACCATAAATAATTATATCGATTTATAATGTACACTATAAATCCATGGAGGGTATTGAGAAACGTTAAAATGCTTACAGGAAAATGATTTTAAAATACAGTCAAAGATTGTCTTCTTCCTGCGCGAGGTACTCATTACTATTTCGATATATGCTTATTTTATACGTGCCATTTAGTGAAACATTCAAGTTTTCAAAAAATGTTGCGTCCACTATTTTGAGCCGTAGTAGGTATTGACACATTTGGACACAACGATCCCCCTACTTACTGGCAAAATGTCTTTAAGTGCGATTTGTTTGGAATTTTAAGAAAACATGGACAAGTTTCATTGATGTTTATCCCTTACCATGTCAATTACATTTGCAGTTTGATAATGTATTTAGCGATCATAAAAATTTATTCTCATTTTTTTTGACACATTTAAAATGGTGAAATATTTATATATGATGAAGTGTTTGATGCAAGATGGTTTGAACAATTACAGAATTTATGACTTAGTCGACGCCAACTGTTTCAACAAACCCGCAGCATGTTTCCGGATCAAATAGGAATACATTACGATGGGGAGCTTCCTTCTTTGTGACTGCTTTGATAATTTCCTGAGCAAGGACGCCTCCAACTACAGCAGCTGACGGAGATATTTGGCTAAACACATATTCCAACATGTCAGAGGGCATAAACGGGGCACTTATTAATTCTTGAGCCAAGCGCAGCAATTCTTTGATATCTTCTTGCCGTGATAAGTAACTCGGATCACGATTATGTTTATTACGAAACATTTGCAACATTCGAAGCAGAATAAAAGCAGGACCAGTGCGCTTTAATTTCTTTTGGAATGTTGGTGAATTCACATCAAATTTTGAGATCGATGCGTAGGAAGGGAATTTTAATTCTTTTTGAATTGTTGTTGTTACGACTTCAGTTTTAATTTTTTCGTTTGGCTTGGATACGACTTTATGTTTTACCATATCCCTGTAAATAAAATTAACAAACAATAAGACCAGCAAGACGTAACGTTTTAAAATTTACTCAAAATAGCTGTGGTCCTGCAAATCCGCAAAGCAATATCCAAACGTTCCCCACACATCACCGGAAAAAAATTTTATACCTTTCTCACGGCATATTTCATTTATACGCAAAAGTTCACTATCGAGCGCACCAATAATAACCACAGCATCAAACTCTGAGAAAAACTCAGCCTTTTTTTCAGCCAGCGGTTCCTTGTCTGCTGATATTTTCACCATTGGATTTAGGGCTCTAGCTCTTTCAATCGAGGCCTCAGCGCGATTTTTACCAACAGCAGAACGTGGAGTAAGAAATTGAGCACCGAAATCGTCCTCGGTTACGATTCGATCGTCGTTCAGTTTGACTGCTGACACTCCAGACAAAATAATATTTTTTGTAATTTCAGCTCCAACGCCGCTCAGGCCGGAAATTAGAACCTTAGCCGTGCGTAGACGCTTTTGAGATTCCAAACCCCAAAGGCGAATTTGGCGATCATAAAGCTCGTTTTCTGTTTCAGTCAATTCAGTTTCAAGTGCTCTGTTTGTGCTAGGGCCATTAAGATCCATTGGCTCATCCATTTTTCCTTTTTTATTCCTTACGTTAGTGATGTACAAAACTCAAACAATGTGAGGAACGCGTCCAAAAAGATCTCAAATTCGTTGAAACAATGTTGCCAAGGCATGGTAAATTGGGATTCGACGTAAGTTATATCGAAAGTCAGATGTGTGCTCAGATATTTATTAGTGATTTTCATTTTTCTTGCATTTTTTATATCTATATAAAGTTTACATATTACATAAATTATGTTTACTTAATTTACAAATGTAAAAAATTTATGAAATTAGTAAATTAATGTCTCTCTGCCATGGGAATATAAGGGTGGCCTGATTGAGAAATCATAAAGGACTGAAATAATGTTGCGTTATAACTATTTTTGGGATGGGACTATGCCGACTATTTGTGAAAAAGCGTGAGAATTAATAAATCACCGTGTAATTACGTATCTGAAAGTTAACTTTAGCTCGCGACCAAGCCGATAGTTGAGAACCGTTTTTATTGATTTCACATAAAAGTTCCTATAATTTTGTTTGCTACTTTTCATGTGCAAAAAGAAACAAGTTTTTGTTTACGTTCAATTGTGGCTGACAAAATTGAAAATAGAGAATCCGGCTCTTTTCTTTGATAAGTAAAGAAACATTGTTGTGCTTATACTAAGTTTTATTATTAATTTAATATAAGTTTTGCTTTAAATGCCAATTGAACTCGACTGTTATTTGTTTAGTTGAGTTTCATGTATAAGTAGAATGAACATAAATAAATAAATAAATAAATAAATGAAATATCGAGAAGCCATTAAAGAGATTCGCAGATTTACTTAGACGAAAATTAGCACTGCGTGATGTCGAATCGATAGCCGTTTGAATAGCCCTATCTCGGTATGAGGTAAGTTAATTTGTAGTGCTCTTTTTAAATTAACGAAACTGATAATTGTATTATTTCCTAAAACAATAAGTCTACGCTCTTTCATATTCGCATGCGTTTACCTCAATAAGTGTTATATCTTTACCTGCTGAAAGTTCACTACAGCTACAACAAAAAAAAAAAAAAATGAAAAAAATGTGAAAAAATATTTCGTTTTTTAACAACTTTGGACAAAAATCGAAACTTTAAGTTTAATAACATGAAAAAACTTGATAAAATAGGACCTTTCGACTCGTAAAGTGAATTTTTTCGGGACTTTGGGGCAGCGACAAATGACCCTTGGGAAACTAATCTACTAACTAAGAAATACAATCGCTATTTCTTTAAAAAAGTACTTCCAAAATTGAACTGGTGCATCGAAATTTCACAAAAAAGAATTTCTTCTGAAATCGGTTTTTATGGAAAAATAGGAAAATATATTTTTCTCCCAAGATGCTTCCGTGCGAACACAAAGCTTGACTTTTTTCTAAACGCAAAATTTCGCAATTGGCTTTCATTTTAACTTACCAATAAAGTATGAACTGAGTTAAGATATTAACTCATATGTGGCGCGCTTGTAAAGCGAACCCCAATTTTCATTTTTTTTTCGCTTTTTCCTTTAATTTTATAAAGTACAGTATTGTAGTTTATTATAATAAAATGATAAAGAATTCTTATTTTGTCGGCTTATAATTGAGATCATTTTGTGTGTTAATTAATTAAGTTTTCTTTTTGTTTTTTCTGTTATTTATTTATTAATTTTAATGTTTGTGTTTTCAATAATATTATTGATTATTAGTCCAAATTAATGATTAAACATCTTTTGCAAATTGTGTATCAATTGGTTTTTTTTTCTTGAAATGAGTTTATGAAATTTCTCCAAGAACATTTCATCATACGTTGCAAAACCAATCACTAGACCCATAAAATAAAAAAAAATAAAAAAACCAAATAAATACAATCGTTTTATAAATTGAAATAAAAGGAAAAGGCCATTGTTTTATTTTAATTTAGCTTGATAATTATCTATATTTATGTGAAACATAAAAGCGCAAACAGTAATGAGCAATTGATAAAAATAATATAAATAAATGTTTTTTCCTATTTTTTATTTTCAGGTTATTTATATTATTATATTAACTATTTATTTTATAATATTATTTATTTATATTATATTAATTATATATTTCATACACATGGCAAAATACCCAACGTACTTTTTAGTGGGTGGTTGCGTCAACGCCCAAAGTTGTGGGGTGTTAGAGGACGTAAGGCTTGCAAATTAGAACACAAGCGACTTGTGGACAGACTTCCAGAGAAAACTGGACAATTAGTGACGGAGGAGGGAGTTTTAAAAAAAATTAGGACAATTAGACGTAACTTGAGGAGGATGGGCGAGTAGAAGTATGAGACTCTCAACTTAAGAAGATTTCGTATGGCTCGCAAGGGAGTTTCGCGTTGGGTGCAGCCAAAATTTTTTTTTGAATTACTCTACCAATGAAGATGACAATGATAGAGACAATGACGACGTAACGATGATGATCTTGGCAGCGAAGATAACGCGATCTTGTGTAAAGGGAGGAAGGGCAATACCGAAAGAAAGAAAAACTAAATGTCTCGCTTAACCACCATCCTTAAAGTATGTAAATAGTTTTAGTTTAGCTTCGTTTTCATCACTAAACCGTTCGCAATCAAATTTATCTGGCCCGTCGTAAAATTGTGGGGCTCGATGTAAACCTGCGACTGGTAACTAAATGATATCCTCTTTTTTTAAATTTCACTTTTGCACCATTACGAATATCATAGATTATATTCACGTACGATTCGTAAACGTTAGAACCAGCCACTTACTTAGTTTTAGAGCATGCATAATTTTTAGGAAATGAAGTGTTCCGAATTGGTTCCTTAGTATGAATATTTATAGCTTGTGAGAAGGCGAAATTTTCCCTTCAGCTTAGCCACATAGGTGTTCTTAGCTCCGGCGTATTCCCTTCCTTTATTCTCTGATTTAAATAAAACTTTTCGGTAATCCAATTTCTCATATATTAAACCACAAAACCTTGAGTTCTACATTGTGATTGTTTCCACAAATCAAGTTCTACACTGTTATTGTTTCCACAAATTAAGTTCTACATTGGTACCTGTGGCCCCCATACGATTGACAAGACCTATATTTAGTGCTTCCTTAGCGTCAACACTACGACCGGTGTGTAGCAACTCTACGATATTTGAAATTGTCATTTTATAAAAAATTTTTCAAACTTCATTTGAAAGAAATTTTTCATTTGTAAAAACGCCTCTCAATATCTCTGAGCATTAATTCTCTAAAATATTCTTAAATGCTCTATAGCGAGTGCCTGGGTATTTTCAATTACTATAGTAACATTGACCATATTCGTAAATTATGAAAACAATTCAATGAGAATTACAACTTGATCTACTTCTACCATAAACTCGAATATCGTCAAACACTTGAGCTGTATGCTATAATGTAAGATCTGGTTGTGGATCAGCCGAGTCCCGAATATTCTATTATTGTTATTATTATTATTATTAATTTCGCCAGAGAAATAAATTCTAAATTCCCACTCTAGGCAATTTATTTATTTTTTTTGGGAAAATCAATTAGTTTGAATGAACTGGATTTGAATTTCCGTAACGATGTCATAGATACACAATTGTATTGAAGGAGACGATGGTTATCATTACTGGAAAGTATTTAAATATCGGAATGCTGTCGATAGTAAATGAAGTATACGGTCTTGAAGAGTTGGAAAATTCTGTTTAAACTGCGCAAGATCATTGACAAGTTTCGCGTTGGGTGCAGCTAAAATTTGTTTGTTGAATTACTCTACTGATGAAGATGACAATGGGTTTGACGAAGACGATGGAAAGGTTGACGGGTCAATTGCAGCAGAAAAATGGACAGACTATGATTAACGACGAGGACTTGTTACTTTTCGATAGCACTGACAAAATGGACGAACATTTTGTGCCAGGTTTAGATGAATTGAGGCCAGGAGGTGGGAGCAGCAGCTGAAAGTGGAGTGACGGACACCGAGACTCTCAAAGAAGTCGTGAGGAAGTTGACTCCTCACGACAAAATAGTGCGGATCAACTTCGACGAAGTTTTTGCGAATAAAAGCACCATCTAAAGCCGAGCTGGAGACAGAATATTCGGATGTGGACTAACGCCCAAAGGGAAAAATACTAAGGAGTGCATTTCAGTACTTGTGTTCGCCGCCCGAAGCCTGTTGGCACCTTTCAATATAATGCTGAGCGCAAACTTATCACTATCCATAAAGGTGCTGTGAACGAATTGGAAGACGTTGTCAAGCTTGCAGAAGAAATTGGATTAGATGTCAGAGCTGTCGTCTGCGACCGATCGTCGAGCAACGAAGACAGAACAAAAAAATTTTTTAATGGCGTATACAAAAGGAAAGAGGCAGACGGCAGCATCAAGACAATATTACTTGTACACGAGATAAAACAGATGATGATGATGAACTGTTAAACTTCGGTTTCCGTTGGAGCTGTTCCCAATTGTCTGCCGATATTGCGCCTCGATGGACCGTTACCTATGTTTGCTAACATCTGGTAGAATTTTAAGTTTCGACCAGTCGGGTTCGACGGACAAATACTCGAAAATCTGATAAGAGATCTGCTCGACAAAAAAGTTGATAGCCACCTGTTCTTTGGCCTTATCCCATGAAACATAAACGTAAAAATTAGAAAT